TTCTTCATTTGTTACAAAAATTTGTTTTTCTGACTTCTCCGGAGTGAAAGTAGAAAGCCAGGCCGGTCCATATTTCCACAATGTTTGTTTATTAAGTAGTTGATGCGGGAATAAACCTCTACTTGCAGCGTCAGCAGGGTTTTCCACTGTTGGGACGTAGCGCCATTGTTCAGAAGGCATTAGGTTTGTTATTTGCTGTACCCTATTCGCCACAAAGGGGCGCCATCTGTTTGGTTCACCATTTAACCACCCTAATACTACTTTGGAGTCCGTCCATCCATATGTTTCAATGTTATATCTATACCAGGCCTGTTTTATTTTAAATACTAATTTAGATAGTAAGTAAGCGCCACTTAATTCTAGTCGCGGTAACGTGAGCTGTTTGTTGAGTGGTACAAGTTTTGTTTTAGCTGCGACTATCAGTGTTTTGGTTTGTTGTTTGATGCGTGCATACACAACACACCCATATGCTTGGACGGAGGCATCACAGAACCCGTGTAGTTCAATGATGTCGTGCTCTCCACTTAAAATCCACCTGGGTATCTCATATTTGGTAATGGATTCTAAATCAGCTTGTAACTTATACCATTCTTTATAAATGTCTTGTGATACTTCGCTATCCCACGGGGTGTTTGATTTCCATACTTTTTGAAATAGTAATTTTAATTTGACTACGACAGGTGCCAGCCATCCCAAGGGGTCAAATATTTTAGACATTTCAGACAACATGATTCTTTTTGTTAGCTTAAGCGGATTGGATAACTCCCATCTAAACTTAAAAGTGTCTGTTTCTGGGTGCCAATACAACCCTAATATTTTCGAAGTATCTTCGGTCTTGAAGGTAAACGTCACATCTGTACTGTTTCGATGTTCTGGCATATTCTGTAGTAATTGTTGATTGTTCGCTGACCATTTTCGTAAATTAAACCCACCCGATTGTAGTAATCGTGTGAGGTCGGTTATTAGCCCTTTGCCGTGTTCAATGTTATGAGCACCATGAACCAAGTCATCCATGTAGAATGCTTCTTGCAGCACTTCGGAGGCTTCGGGGAACGAGTCCTGTTCATCAATCGCTAGCCGCTTTAACGTCATCATTGCTAAAAATGGCGCCGCTTTAGTGCCATAGGTAACTGTTAGTAGTTCAAATGACTGTAACAGATGTTGTGGAGATTCTCTCCAAATGATTTGCTGTAAAGGAGTGTCTAGTCTACTGACCAGTATTTGCCTGTACATCTTCTCGATGTCAGCGGTAAAAGAAAATTGGTACTGTCTCCACTTCAAGAGCAAACTCTGCAAATCATGTTGTAAGTTGGGGCCCTTGTACATTAAATCATTAAGAGAGCATCCTGTTGATGTTTTCGCTGAGGCATTAAAAACGACTCTATGTTTTGTTGTAGTCGACTCGGTTCGTTGTACGCCGTGATGAGGTAAATAACACTCGGGTGTAGTGTTACCGGTCGACAGTGCCATATGACCTAATTCAATATATTCTGACATAAATGTTTTATAAGCAATCGCAAAATTTTGTTGATTTTGTTGTTCAAATTTTTTCTCCAGTCGTTTAAATTGGGCTACGGCGATATTTTTTGAATTCCCCAATTTATTTTCCACGCCCTCCTTCATTGGCAATCTGACCTCGTATCGTCCTTCGCTGTTTCGTCTGGTGTTATCTTCATAATGTTTAATGCACTGCATATCTTCTGAGGACATTTGTGCAACCTCAGCGATTTCCTCTACTTCCCAGAAGCGCTGAATGTCTTCAATATTAGTTAGTACAACGTTACACTGGAATGTTTGAGCAGTACCACATAAAAGCCAGCCAAGTTGTGTTTGTTGGGCTACAGGGTGAGACGCGTCGTCTCCCTTAATTATGCCGCTTAAAATAATGTTTGCATAAACATCAGCGCCTAACAGTATATCCACTGGACGGCTGATGTAAAACTCCGGATCGGCTAAATGAATGTTCTTAATGTTAGACCAAGTTGGTTTCTCAAATGTTCTATTGGGCAATCGTTTGATAAGACTAGCCATAATGACTACGTTAGCGTTAAAACTGTAGTCGTTGTACACAGATTTACATGTTATTTTCAGTTTCCCCTTGCAGTTATTCTCGCGCTGTCCTACTCCGAAAACAACTCCTTTGTAATTTTCTCGTTTAAGCCCTAGAAGCTGGGCCGCATGTTCTGTTATCAGGGATAGTTGAGAGCCCTGGTCAACTAAAGCCCTCATGTTGTAATATGTTCCGCCTTTACCTTTAGTTGCGCTGTGGCTAACAAAATTTCAGGAGAGGTTTGCTTAGAAACGTGCGATGTGTTATTTATGTTTTCATTGTCGCATGTTGCAATAGTTTGGCATGACGACGACGGCTTCGATTTTGTGCTGACAAAGGCGTCATGCAATAATGTGTTATGTCGATCCGAACAATTTCGACATGTATGACTAGAAGTGCATTCTTTGCCATTATGCGAAAATAAACAATTAATACAAAGTCCTAGTTTCTTCACTGTCTGCAATTTTTTGTCATTAGGCAGAACTAAAAATGTTTTGCAATTGTACAAGCCGTGTTGGTTTTTGCATAATGGACATTTGAATCCAGATCCGGTCACGTTATATGATTTCGCAATCGACGTGCTTCCGATAGCTTTCTGCATGTTAGAAGATAAGTTATTAGAATTGTTTTGAAAAATGTGTTTCCCGTAAGGCGTAAATTTTTTGTTGTTTGCTGAGTTAGGTGAATGTTTCGGCGGTCCTGCTTCTTGTTTTCTACGCGATGATGTTTCCAAGGTGGTAAACTTGCTTTCTAGATAGTCTAGAAGTTCTTTCAGCACCGGTAAATCGCGAGGATTCTTCACCGATTCTAGATAATCATTGTATGACTCAGGATCCATTTTCTGGCTCAACAGGTGGACTAGAATCGGATCCCAACTGTTTGTGTCCACCCCTAAATTCTTTATAGCGTTAAGTGTCTCTAATGTTACGTCATGCATTTTCTTTATAAGCGTTATTGAATGATGTTGTATGTTGGGCAAATTAAATAATATATTCATCTGAGAAGTAAATATTAGTTTTTTATTATTATAACGGTTGTTTAAAATGTCCCAACAAGATGTGTAATTATCCGCGCTTATAAACAAATGTTGAATAAGCCTCTCAGCTTCTCCCTTGACCTTTGTTTTTAATATCTGCATTTTTTGAGAATTTGGCATCATGGTGTTGTTATGGACGGCGTCTATAAACAAATCTTTAAACGACATCCAGTGGTTATAATTGCCGCTAAAAATAGGAATTTCCAGTTTTGGTGTCGATTTTTCTCTGTACGATACGGACCATTTTTTCTTATTTATCTCCTTTTTCAGGGCATAATATTGTTTTTCATTTTTTGTGAAACTGTATTCATACTGTTGGTTTTCTCCATGTACCTCGCTATCGATCTGCACATGCAGTTTGTCAATGACCGCCCAACGGTTCTCGAGCGTTTTTAAGGCATCTTCAAACTCCCAGTTCACCGACAAGTTGTCTATCTCAATGTTTTCCATTGTTCTACTGAAAGCTCTAAAATTAGCTTCTTGATGGCGTAGCATTTCATCCAGTTTGCTGTAACCCCCCTGTTGTTTGGTAGATGGCAGCGAGCCACTTGTTCCTGTTGTTCCTCGTTGCTGTCCATCTTTAGCTTGGCTAAAAGATGCGGTTGGCGACGTGCCCCTCGTGGCATCTTCTCCAGCCCCAAGAAACTTGCTCGGCGTAGACGTATATTGTTGTAGCCTGCCCTCATGAATAGACGAAACGTATAGCTGGTATATAGCCTTCGCCTCCTCAAAGTTCCTCTCAGCCGTGGCAAAATCTGCGGGGCTCAACTCCTTGGAAAGACGATCCCGGTTTTGCTGGATTGCTTTCCACAGTTCTTCGACCTTATCCCATTGATTTTTGTAGTAATCAGGCCTACTCTTTCTATCCTTCCCGTCCTTCTTGTAATTTGCCCAGTGTCTCTCAAGTTCTCTTAACAAACGAAGCTGTTCTTCAATCAAAGACATAGTGCAGAAGTTTAAATAGGAAAGATCTTACTTGTAAACTGCCCGCTGGTGAGTCTGCCACGAACGCCTGTTCCTGTTCTCAACTCCAAAGCTCCTCCACTGTTACGCTAGTTCACACTTCACACGATTTGCAAACTGTTCGTGTTACGCGACGCGCGAAGTTTACCTCGAAGGACCAATGTTTGGGGTGCAATTGGAGGTTTTAAAAGGATGTAACGTAATGTTATAAAATGTTTATTGTTATATAAACTACTCTAAATGTTTACAAAACACGATGATACCAAACTATGTTAAATGTATTAAATGTTACTAAAGTTAATGGGAAATGTTAATATGTAATGTTTATATGTTAAAATGTTAATATGTTATTGTTATGAATGCACCCGGTCGCAACGGTTCCGAAAAGTACACTGTTTTATTTTACAGAATTTTGTCATTATGTATAATGCGTCGCGGCCTGACCGGATTCAATTCACGTGTTCGATGTCAGCAATAATAATAATTACTAAATACATCGAACATAGATACTATTCATTTATAAGTATCATTAAGCAAGTCGAAACCAAAAGGCGTTGTCGAAATACACACATGTAGACATAAATCTATATAAGTACACAATAAATTAATATAAATACCAATTACGTCCGTGTGGTGACGGTATAAGAATATAGAGTGTCACCACCCCTATTCATCCCGTGGGTGTCGAAAGAACCGACTAAGGCAGAAAACTACGCAGAACAATAGTACTGCAGAGAGAAGGAAAACTTGACACAAACCCTATACCAACCTGTCTAGCCAGCGTGGTATAGTAGTCCAAAACCTCCTTCCTAAGAAGAGGCTTATGTCCAACAGTGGACTATTAAAGGCTGTTGATGATGATGACCAATTACAGTTTATTATCCTAGCGTAACTATATTAAACTACATATGAACAATTAATTTATTGTCTTCTTAAAAACTGAGATGGTGTTTAGAAGATGCTGGTCACGATGTAGAGCCCCAGTCGGCAAATGCAGAACGTCATTACAAATTGCAAGGCTCGATGGATGATATATAACCTGTAAATAGATAATACTCATGCATGAATTCACTCATGGTAGGGTATACATAGGCGTATCAAGGAAGCGGAATGGTCACCTGATCATAAGTGGCTACCGCCGCCCAAAGACAACTGCAATTCAAAGACACAAGTGCGTATGCGATCTTTGTGTACTCTTAGAATAAGGAAGGAGGGGTTGGTCCTCCGGTAACTCGCTCACTCGGTGTAAAACAACGAAGGCAGTGGTGTTTAACACCGGTGTTCGAGACCAACAACACAAACTCATACGTTAAAAATATTAGTTACCTTTTCGTTCCCTGGGTGGAGCTGTTACAAAACTTAGATCGCGCTATGGTTGCGTTACACGCGTTAGTATAATGTGTATGTATACTGGAGTTTAGTTCGTGGAGTCTTACGAACCCATAGTACAGTGCACAGTGGTTTTATTTAAATCCCTACTAGTGTCTTTGACCCAGTCCAAAGATACCCTGCTTGGTATCAAACAACCGGCTTTCTGTGAGGCCGTGGTTACACTTCGGTTGAACCGTGTCAAAACGGTGTGTGTCAAACAATGAAATTAGCACGTTTAAATAAAACACTTACAGGCGCACCCTCTTGTGAGCTCGTTCAATATCTTCGTCCTTCTCCTGCAGGACGTATCGTCGCACTCCTTTTACGAACTTCACGCAGTGATCGTCCCAACTGCAACGTAAATAAACACAAACGTAAAAAATTGTGACTGTTTAGAGATCAACACGAACATAATTATGTAATAAATCTTTGATAGCGACAGAAACACGGATAAAAACATTTTTTCCTAAAAAAATTTGTGGAATAGGGGCTCGTGGCTAAGTGGTAACGGGTTAGGTTGCACACACATTGCAAGGTTAAGCAGTCCTAGCCAGGCCAGTCTATGGATGGGTGACAATTCTTAACACATTGAGACCTCTCCTTGCCTCGGAGAGCTCGTTAAGTCGTCGGTCCTGGTTGTCATACGAACATCTGTTGCAATCGTTACGGGTATTTGGAGCCCTAAAAAGTACGACAACAGTGACGGATTAAGTAGGCCAAAACTTCCTATCTAAGGAGAGGCTTTAACAGTCTAGCAGTGGACTGTTAAAGGCTGTTGATGATGATGATGACTTATCTGCTCATGACAAACACCTCTTACAGTAAAAACGGAAAAGTAAATACTTTTTGAATTAAAGTAGAACCCACTTCAAACAATACTGACAAAGTGCACTAAAAATTTAAAATATTTACAAATCTAAGTAAAAATTATAGTAAGTTCACACTTATTATAATTTATGCCCTCAATATGCTCTTTGTCAGTATTGTTTGAAGTGGGTTCAACTTTAGTTTAAAAAGTATTTCTCTGTCTCGTGGTTTACTGTACCAGAACTCATACAAAATCCTTCTAGCAGTTGCGGATCACCTAAAAAGTTACTATGGAAATTAATAAAAGTAACTATTAATTTCGTGACAAGTTTCAAATTCAATATATCAAGATGAAAGAACCACTTACTCTATGGTATGAACATCAAGGTTGTAAGTGGCAGCGTCAGTGGGAGACAACTTTTCTTTTAGTCTTCGTACATTGTTGGTGCTGAAGGTCCAGTCGTGGCACATGAAAAAGGCGAGGGCATCGCTCATCTCTTGAATACGGTCACTTATCTCCGTCAGACTTGGACTGGGTATAAAAAACATTAATATTGATATGTTTTTTTTTATGTCGGGTATCACGTCATGACGTTATCGTGCATCCCGAATTGATTATGTGGAAATCATTTCGACTAAAACAACACGGTGTTGTGTCGTGATTGTCTATGGCCAGAGCCTGAGGCATAACCCAGGAAGGAATTCCTTGGACATCTAATAGATCCCCAGAGAAGTACGGGGAAGCTGAGAGGCGCCACTATACCTAGAGGTGTTACGTAATGAATCACAAAGTATTAAAATTAAACATATTTTTTCTGATCTTCTGTGATCATATGGACCACAGAAGATAGCTATACATTACAAATTTGCCAATGCAAGTTACGCCAGCTTCTTTTAATTGAAGGAACGATATCGCATTCCTAAAATAACGTTATTTATTTATTTATTTTATAATTTCTTGCACAAATATATGGACCGATTAGGCGATGTAGAGAAAGAGAATGCGGTAGGTGCACTTAATTGGTAATAAACGATAGAGGTAAATACCAACTATACATACATACTTACACACACACACACACACACATTGGACCACTTCTGTATCACTACCAAAATGGCACCATTTTTTTACAGCAACACAAAAAGGAGCGCTAGCAGCACCATTAATACTTTTTAATGGTTGGTTTTACAATTATAAAATAATAAAAGTATACACAGCACAAACGATTTGAGAATAATATCGAAATCAATCTTTCATTCCTATTTCAAATAATTTATAGTTTAATAAAAACGTAGACAATATAGACTACACACCACAAGTTTTTAAATTACCTACTTACCGTGTTTTCATTCCGAATATGTTATACAGAAAGTCAATAATGTGGAGGGGAGCCACTTGCAACATTAACTGAGATATCTTGAGTATAAATCTGAAATGCATCAAGAATTTGCTCAAACTTTTCAATATTATAAGAAAGTTTCTATAGTTAAAGAGACATTTATATACTTAAAAAAATACTATCTTAAGTCATCCGGCAGGGTGACAGAATAGATAATAAAATGTAAAAGTTCGTGTTATGGCCAACACTAACTTGGACGCCAAGGGTTCCGCAATTAAATTTTATAGTGTTTAAACGAATAACATCTAAGAAAGGTGTTTCTAAGGATTTTGTATGAAAGATATTTCTTACCTATTCCCTGTGCAAAAGCCAAACGGGTACCAGAGCGGTGAGTCGAAGGGGTAGTCGTGAACCCCACGTGTCATCCGTTCGTTGTACTCCCCCCAAGTCGTGGGATTATCGTGGGAACAGCAATTATACACACGAGTTTCTCGGAGACTGGAATATTAAGTAATAGATATAATATGTATTACACTGCTGTTTTCCGCAGTTTCTGTAGCATTTATTAATACTTCTTCTCCCAAGAATGTAAGCACGATATTAAGTAGCCTATATTGAAGTGAAAACTTTTTAACATTGGTCATTTTTTAACAACAATTAAATAATGTATTTTTTTAGATTGATAAAAACTATTGACCTCGCGAAACGGTTACCGTTACCGACACCTCTGTTTATAAGTATCCACATATATTGGCCCCGTTTACACGAGAATTGAGTTTGGGTTGAAATATATTGATAATATAACTATGAATAATATAAACATATATTGTGTATATTAGGGTGTCCCGTCAATGTATGGGATTTTTTTTTAAAGCGACGGCTGCGCAAGAGGTATCAAAAGTTGCGTTTTTGTGAATAGATTACAAATATAACAAAATTTAATTAAATATTTGTCATCTTTAGGCCTCTACCGATCCTAGAAGTTTTTCAAATTTGCCATTTTTAGAGGTTTCGAACATAAACTATAAATGATACAAAAATAATGTTTTAAAGGTTTTAATCAAATTTATAGGTACTACAAAGACATAAGGTAATGTTCAGTAAAGTTTAAATACTTATAATTAGTGCTTATTTCAAATACGAAATTGGTTCTTGTGGCCAAAATTAGGCATTTCCGAGCGAGATATTAATCTGTTTCTGATTAAACCATCCTGAGCTGTAGCGTCCGTGACACTTAGAGAAGCCTCCGTCACTAGCTTTACACATCTTTCCACTGATTGTGTATGACAGGGGAAATCAATAACATCGAAGCTTTGTTCTTTAGCCTTAATTCTCAGCTCGTCGTCGGACATCTGTCGCAAAATCGGTGGAGCGGATATCTCACACTCTTGCCAAAATATCAAATCGATGTAATATCGCGCATCGAAGTTAAGTTTTGGTACTTTAAATACCCTGCGAGTGTTGCTTATTTCTGCTTCTCTTGCCTTTAATATTTTGCGAGCTGCAAGCTCTCGAATATGCTCTCTGTCGTCGAATAGCATGGTAACAAGTAAGTTTTCAGGGTGAGCAAAAAAAGCGTTTCTCTCGATCACTGAATTCACAATAGATCTTTGCTTATCAGGCAAAAATCGGGAGTACGTAACAATTTGAAAAATATGATTGGCTCCATCTTTGAATGATGAGTTTTTCTTAATGAGGAACCAAACTGGAGCATAAACTTTGACCACATAATTGACAAGCAGCTTTAAATTATTTGATGGCGAAACAGTACTTACATAAAGTCTGAGTATGCGATTGGCAGTAGTTAGCCATCTTGAATGCGCCATTGTTCCAGGTTGTCGGCTCGCTAACTCAGGGGAACAAGAACCAGTCGTCACAGCATGACACATTTCATACAGATACTTTTGATCCGTACTTAGTTCCTTCACAATATCATCAGGTAATTCGAGCAAATTGCCAGCCACTGCACAAAAAGACACTAGTGGTTTACTTTCACAAACATTTAGCTGTTTTCCAATAGGTCCTGAGTATTCTTTCGGCCCAGATGTGCTACCATCTAGAGACATAAACAAATGGCGAAGCGGTAATTCATTTGTGTGAAGCATACAAACACACCATTGTAACGGTCTCTTCAAATAGTCTTCCAGGTATTTAATGACACCTCCTTTCCAACTTGTATTTGTAGGAGTGCCATCGCAACCCACACAACTTACTTCTTCTAAGTTCCATCCTTGATTTTCTAACAATTCTATAATAGAAGTGACAATCCCTTTCGCAGTACCAATCGTATGTCCCAAGTAAATAGATCCCGGCTCTGTAGGAACTGAAATGTGTTCTTCTAAGACTTCTTTTCGGTGGTACCGGCTGTCTATTTTATTGATCTTGAGAGTTTTATCTTTTCGCCCATCGAAGTAGATACTCTTTATAATCATTTTATCGATGTCTTTGCTGGCTTGGGTACGTGACTTTGAAACAGCTCTGTGAATCTTATTTTTATCAATCACAAGGTTTAGATCTTCGGAAGATACCATTCCTACGGCAACTAAGACTGCTGAAGCGACTGCAGCTGCCGAACGCGTTGATAGTCCGTATCGATCACATACCTTAGCTACTGTTGGCAGCGTCAGAGTGTTCCGACTAAATGAATTAGATGGAGACTCCTTTAAGTCACTTTTAGTAGAAGGTTCTATTGAAAGCGACTGTCAACGAGGCGGCAACACGCGTACCAGTACAGTATCGGTTTGTGAAGTACTCGGAAAACATGCTTGCTCTGTCCGCTTCAAATTTTCTTGTCTTTGATGTTTCTTTAAAAGCCTTGCAGTTTCTTTTGCGTCTACGCCGCTTATTGTCATTTTCCTATCATTTCTTTGGCCCAGTAAAAAATCTCTTTCAGAAATGGGAACTTTCTTGGGTTTAGTGCAGGAACAATTTTCAAACGAAGTGCACTTACAAGCAGCGATGTCAAAAAGCTTATTTGACGATTCCAAAAAGCACTTAACTTTGTTGTCATAGCTATCGTTTCTCTTACTTTTAGGATATCTTATTAGTGATAAATATTTGTTAAAATATGCGGTTAGCAGTTGAGTAACCCGTACGTTGAGTACGAAACGATGGGAATTGAAGCTTTGGTCCAAATTGTGTTAAGTTTTCCAGAAACTATTGAAAAGACTTCTGTGTTCGATGGATCTTTTCCGTTTTTCTGTACTTTTAATTCACTTTTAGTAAATAAAATGCACTTAATAACGTCTTTTATAACAGGTAATTGGCGATCGTCAAGTTCTTTATAAGGTCCCAATATAGTACAAGTAGTCTCACTTCGCCTTGAACACATTTTTATGATTAAGTAACGCAAATTACGTTTTTCTTTCAAAGAAGAATAGAACAACTCCTTACAAGAGTAAAATCGAAATAGAAATAAGACGAACTGTCTTGTTGTAGAAGTAGCGCACGTACGAAAATCAAGTCAAAACATGAACTTTGTAGGAATTTTGCAAGTCCGATCCAAACCGATTGATCGCCATTGAGTTAAATATCAATGTTGATCGCTAAAACAACCTGTCGATACTTGCAAATCATAGCCGAGGCTTTTCTTATTGATAAAATTACAAGACAAAACAGGATTGATTCATAAAACATAGAATATACGACATTGACTACAAGGTTGTTTTTGCGAATTTTCAGTAAATAAAAATGCTGGTAGAGCCCTAAGGATATTTTTAAATATTTTTTGAATTATTTTTACGCTAATCTACGTCTAACAGCGCAAGCTTTTGAGAGGTCTTAAGTAGCTAAAATAAGAATAAAAAAAATTCGGGACACCCTAGTGTATATACGAGTATGTACAACATACATACATATTCATGTCCGAACTTTTCGAATCGAAAAAAAACAAAAATGGTTCCCGTTATAATAAAAAAAAAAAAAATCTTCAAGTTTGCATTTCTGTCGGCACTCCGGAGTGCCGCTGTTTTTGTTTTAATTGTTAGACCTGGTAAACAAGCAGGCGGGTACCTTCACCTTCAACTCAAGAGTCACAAGATCGTTGCCGGCCCTTTTGTGGCCCACAGAAGGTTAGGTAGGAAGGGTTGATTTATTACTGCAGTAACATCACTCTTTTAGTGAAATCCAACAAAAGAATTTCTTAACAGCGGTTCTCTGCAAGGCCGTAGTAATAATTCCGGTTGAGTCAGTCGATATGTCCCGAAGCATGGCATTCTCTCTCTTTTATTCTCTTTTAAAATACAATTAGGACAGTAGGAAAACTTATATCTTTACATACATACTTGAAACAGACACAAAGAAGACTCAGAACAGCAATTTGAGGATCACATAAAGTGTTGTCGTATGTGGGGATCGAACCCACAACACTGTAGGAAGCGGTGAGGTGACCGCTTAAAAAACTACGCCAACCGTGCAGTCAATAAACCAGTTGTATAAACCCGACCCGTTCCGCGAAGATTAGTGCGCAGGAAAACTCACTCCTCTATTCCAGTTTCCCATCCAACCGCAATCAAGGTGTCGACAGCAATATCGACCGGTATCATGTCAGTCTTTTTGTTCTTGAAGCAGTAGACAACGTGCAGCAAACCCTTGCCCGCGCTTACCATGACACCACTGGGGCCATTTAGGTTCTGTACCCATCCAGGGAATGGATTCTGCACCGAGGATGCCACTGTAAAAAAGTTTTTTAGAAATAAAACTTTATAACTCTAAGAGGGCACTTTTATTCCGTCGTTCTATGCTCGAACGGACTTGAAAATACTAAAACGGTATTGATATTTTGATCAGAAGGGATACAACTTTACGAGTTTTTCAGAGAGGAAAAATAGCCTTAGTTACTCCTTATATAGACAGCTATTTGGTACTAAAATATATATATTTTAGGTATCATACAAATGACCGTGTGAGCATGAAAAAACCTATTATTTTGACCTTCGAAACAGATACTTTAATTTTATTTATTTGTATAGATAAAAAAGCACCCACACACTCGTTAAATTAGTAGTAAATATCAGGGGTAAACGAGCAGACGTGTTACCTGATGTTAACCCTGATGGTAAGTGACTACCGCTGACCTGCAATTCAAGAGACACTCTATTTCTCCCACCAGCATTAGGAGGAGAGGGTTTTGTTCTTAATGAAATGACATGAAATGATTTTTATTTCTGCAAGTAAATCTTTTCAGATATTTTTACAAATCGGAAACACATAGCAAAGAAACAAATTCTTAGCATCGGTTTTCTGTGAAGCTGTGGTATCATTCTGGTCGAGTCGAGCCATATGCGCCGCAGCATGTGTTCTAATAAAAGGGATGTGTTTTAACTTTTTTTTCGCCATCGATGACAACTCTATAATTAACCGCAGGGCTATGGTTAATTTTAGACAGACGTATGGATTTAAGCCTTTCAACATTTATAGCCTTTATTGATCTAAAGAAGGCATTCGATAGGGTAAACTGGACAAAAATGGTGGACATTCTGAAAGGAGCAGGCGTGGACTATAAAGACAGGTGAATAATTTATGAATTGTATAAAAACCAGCAAACAATAATAGACGTGGGAGGAGAGAAACGATTAATTTTTAATATTTTTATCGAGTATGCCATAAGGAAAATAGTAGAATCAGGTAAAGGAGGCGTTAAATTTAATGGGGACACCAAGCGTATTTTGTATCAGATTTGCAGATAATATCGCAGCAATAACCGACAACACAAACAACTTAGAACAACTTCTAACAGTAATGAATGAAACTTTTAAAGATTTTGGATTAAATATAAACTTTAATAAAACTAAAATTGTAATTTTTTTTATATTCAATAAGCAGGAAAACTGGCAGGAAAAATAGAAGGCAAGATAAAAGGGGACGTCCGAGATTAACATACATACAGTAGTAAATTGAAGGAGAAAGTGGGAGTCGTGGCAAAAAGAGGTCAAAAAGATCGCAGGAAATAGAGAGGAGTGATGATTGCTCTTCCGACAAGGCTCTTAAATTAAGGAAGAGAGAGAGAGATGACAACTACTACAACTTCAGGCCAGATAAACTAAACTATTCGATTATCACGTATTTACGAAGTGCCGTAACAACTTCTTACAATTTTCCATAGGACTACTTACTTACGTACTTTTTTGTTCTACCAAAAGTTAAGTGCTTACCTATAGATGGTCTCAATATAGCTGTAGCATATTTAGCGGCTTGCGCGCGCTCCGCCACCGCACTCTCGGCCATCGCCTTCGTAAACGTGTATGTGTTCGGTTTTGGTGATATTAAACTGTCCAAAAATTAGTATTTTTACAATATTCTCCTACCTTTAAACAGAAAATATTACCATATTCTGGTACATGTGTATGTAAAGCTGTCGCATGTTAACAGTTTTTGTAGGCTATTTTCGAATAGGCATAGCCGCCGTCAGTGTGGTCCCGAAAAAATAAATAAAAATAGTGTTTATGTTGAAAAAACAATAATAAACATTTACCCAGTATCACAGGAGATTTTAAAAGATTTTTTAGTAGCGGCAGGAGTGAAGTTAAGAAATTCGGATCTGAGCCACAGATCCGAATTTCTTAACTTGAGACTACTTTTGTAAGTTAACTACCATCTACACACTACTCACACACACACACACACACACACACACACTTGATATGTGTTTGGCTTAGTTGGTAGGGTTAACAAGAATACTTGTAATGTGAGAATCACATCGTAAATATTAATTAAAAGAAAAATGACAAAACAGACACTTTATTACCTGATAAAATTGAATCGAAGTCTAGTTTTTTTTAAACAAAATTCGAATTATACAAAAAAAAATATTTGGACAGACTTAGAATTTTCAAAAGGACATTCTAATTCTGTCTTAGCATGTTCAGAGTTTTTAAAAATTTCGCCAGTATGAATCTTTATTTTTTATTTTTATTATTTATGACATTACAACTGACATTTGAGTTAAATGGTTTTAAAATAAGTAGCTCATTCCGTTGTTAGTGACAAGTTTGAACGGAACTGACGTAATTTAACAAAAGTCACAAATGATAAATGATTTTTATTTCTGTAAGTAAATCTTTTCCGATATTTTTACAAGTCGGACTTTGCAGCGCCAGCATTTCCTAAGACTCCCTCTGGGAAGAAACGTCGAAACAAACGTGTCTTTTTTTTTTAGTCCGTGAACAATGTCAAAGAGAACTATGTGAGTGCAGTTTAGAGTCACGGTTGGCTTTTTGAAGAAAGGACCATAGTTTTGAGTCGGCCTGTCCATACAGACTCGTGTAGCCTAACTGATAATAGTCAAGATCAACGTCTCGAAGCGTGCCTACCACCAGCAAAACATTTAAGTAGGCCTTGGAAACATATCGAAATCTCAATTTTATCACATGAATTTTACATCATACGTACATGCATATGTACATACCTCTGATCTGTCCGTGTAGTGACGGATTAAGAATACGGAATGTCACTACCCCAATTCATCAAGTGGGTGTCGTAAGAGCCGACTAAGGGCGCAAAACAACGCAGGATACCAGCACTACAAAAAGAAGGAAAACTTGACACAAACCCTATACCAACCCGTCTGGCCAGCGTGGTATAGAAGGCCAAAACCTCCTTTCTAAGGAGAGGCCTATGTCCAGAAGTGGACTATTAAAGGCTGTTGATGTGATGTGATGATGTGGAAACACATGTAAGAGATCTTAATTTAAATTAACTGCTAGTAGTTTGTGTTTAGTTAGTTGACTATAAACTTTCAGTAAACAACAACAAGGCACTGTCATCTTACCTTGGAGTGACTTTCCTGATGAGATGTTTGGGTAAATTGTCAAGAATGATTTGGAGTTTTTGGAGACTCATTGGAGCAGGATACACTCGCTCTTCTATGCTGGGACGGTCTGCGTTGCTGTACGCCGTTGATACGTACACCATCACCTGGAAGAAAGCAGTAATTATGAGGACTTCTTTTTTTTATAAAAAGACAACTCCCGCACTAGGAATATATACCGTGTCCAGAGGCGGATTAAGTATCAAGAGCGTCCGAGCATCTCATGGCTGCGCCTCTCTAGCGCTTTTAACTGTCATTTATTTACAGGAACTTATTGATTATACCTTCGGAGATAAACTCTCATTTAGAAGACGTCAGCCACGCAAAGGCGTCACCTCCTGACGGTAGGTCTTCGTGGTGAGTGGAGGAGAAAACCCGGCAACCTGAGACTCAGGGCGGCATGAGGCGCTGGATTTCACGCCAGCCATGGAGCGTGTAACGGCTGGTAGTAAAAAATCCTCTCCGATGACTGCAATAAGAGCTTGACGCTACGTTGACCAGTGTGTGCTGAGCCAAGTTCAAACTGCACTGCAGTGGTGACGAGCGCAACTCACTTCACTCCTAGCGATCGACTGCTGGTACAGATGTGTCCAGAAAAGATCTGCATCAGCAGAAGAAAGGAGTCCCGTGCTGCCACCCTGCCCACTAGACGATGACCGGTTAGACCGCCTCCACGGCACTAAAGCCAGTACGTGGAGCCTCCAGCCGGAACGACTAACAAGTCACCGTGGCTCAGCTAGCGGTCTTTAGCCACTCATTTCCGCCTCTAAATCCCATGGCAGAGATCCGCCAGCAACATATGAGAGTTACCACCCTCAGAGAGCGCTTTATTCTGGGCGATCAGAACTGCCGCCGACACCGTTGCACCGTATAGTGCCGTTGACTGGACAACTCTGCTCTATTACTACAACTTATAGAGTAATCTCCACTACAACTGCATTTTTGTGTACACGCACTATACTCAATCTTCGTAGATATCAGAAGTAGTGGCAATTACGTAATATAAATCCTAGATGTCAACCTTAAGCACTTCCTTAAAATTCACTTCGAACATCTATGCTTCATTATAAGAGATTGTCTATGAAGAAATTTGTTAGGATCTTACCTGTATCATCGGAAGCTGATCGCAGATGTCCATCACCTTGAGTACGGACCTGAGGTTTTGTTCCACCGACACATCAAGCACTTCATCGAACTTGACCGTTGCTGCCGAGTGGAACACCACAGACACCTGGAATATATAACATTTATCATCATCACTGAAAGACGTCTCCTGCTGGTCATAGTCCTTAGGAGGCTTATGTCCTCCTAAAGGAGGTTTTGACCTTCTATACCGCGCTGGCCAGATATATAGGTATAGTTTGTTTCAAGTTTTCTTTTTCTTGTAGTGCTGTTGTCCTGCTTAGTTTGCTCCCTTAGTCGGCTCTTACGACACCCCCGATATGAATAGGGGTGACACTCTGTTTTCTTAATCCGTCACCACACTGATTGCACTCCTATTCTATATCACGGTGGTTTGATTTCAGTGATATGTCCAAAAATTGTCTTTTATTTATTCTTTAAAGGGGTGCTTTCCATGTTACCTGGTTTATTTGCTGGACCGCATCTTTGTTCAAGCCAAGGCTATTTTTAGTAAGGTCTCCGTTCACGACGGTCAGCTTCTTAAGTTGTTGGGGACAATGTTGTCTGATCACGTCGAAGAGCTGTTCGAAAAAGGTAATGATTAAATACATAATAATTTGTACGTTTACAATTTGATAAAGCATGTTGAAACCATAAACAACCTGTATCATCTTCATCTTTACACCTAAGAGAGATGGACAGAGTTATGTATTGCTCTGGTAGAAGCGGGTTTGACTAGAGGTAGCGAGGCTTTCCGCGCTCAACGGTAGGGTAGCTTACTTTTCCACAGGTCCATTTTTCTTGAGATTAACGGCAACTCCCTTTCTGGTTGATAAGACCCCGTGCAGGAACAAGGTATGGTTCTAATCAACTTCGAAAAAATTTGTTACCTCAGAAATTCGTCATTTGTGGAACGATCTGTTTGTTCCCATAAATTTGTAAAAAATAGCACTTATAAAGGTGAAAACTACTACTACTACTACCTATTACAATTTATTTCTCTTATTTATGTATACCTATCACCAGTTCAAAATGAATCCATCCAAAGGTTGCCTGGAAGAAATTGCACTAAGCGATAAGGCCGCCCTTTGTACATTACGTCTGTTGTAAATTACTTTATAAAGTCTGTAAAACCCTGGTGTACAAATAAGGTATTTATCTATCTATCTACAATTCGCCATGCGTCATTAAAGCCAGCATTAATGCACTTTGTCGCTATGTCCGGTATGGTATCGACCATAGAAAGTTTAAATTTTTACAAACCATCTGACAAAGTTAGTTACCACTGAACTATTCTTGTAAATCTTTCAAGCGAAGTATAAATAATTGTGTTGGTATTTGTGTTTGGAGCTGAACCTTGCAACTATTTGATACCAAAGTCGAATAAGGTATACTTCCAACTTTTCTGTTCAAATTCTGGAGTGATATAGGAGCTAGGTGGCTATAGGTTTGCATTTGTTATGTAACTGGGACTAAAACTGTACTGTACAAAATGAGGGCAGTTATATGCCTCTACCCCTTTAGATAAATAGTGTGTGTATGAACCGCAGTTCTGTTCCTGAAATTGTAATTAATATCTATATTTAGAAAAATGTTTAGTTGGTTTGTGTACTCTTCAAAAACTCAAAAAGTTCAAAGATTGTTTTTTGTCTATTTTTCGCTACACTTTTGATCACAATTTCTCATCAACAACCACTATTAATATAGTATAAAATAAAGTCGCTTTTTTTACGTTGTACGCTTAGATCTTTTAAACTAAGCAACGGATTTTAATGCGGTTTTCACCAATAGAGAGAGTGAGTCAAAAGGAATGCTTATGTATAGAACATGAATATTATAGTAGAGGAAATTCGAGAATATTAAAGATTTCTCATAAAAACATGTTTGTGTGCTTACATTGCAAACTCTGGCTAATCCTTACGAGATAGACGAAAATAATGTACAACGGCACAACGGATGGTATATGTCTATCTCATAACGATAACCCATACAACCCACCCCACTATTCCTTATCCAATTAAATACGTAAGGTATGGTATACGGTAGGTAAAATTGCTCTGTACAGCATACCATTACAATAAATATTTTAGAAGATATTAGAGGTTTAAAATGTGGGGTCAAAGCGGCCGGTCGCCGCGTCGGGCCGTATATCTGTCCCGGGTGGCAGCGACCTGCAGGATCGGAGGGGCCTATAAATATTGAATAATAAGTAATATAAAGATGTCCTGTAGTATATCCTATCATAATAATAGTATAATTAATTACTCCACACTGTGACCACATTAGAAGTATCTACATTGCACCCGTGCTAAGCCGGGCGGGGCTAGTTATAAATAATAGCCAAATGATACTCGGCCTTGTTAACCAACCGGTGACTGCTTCAACTCCTTTAGCCTTTCTTCTGGCAATGTATCTTTCTTGCGTCTTATCAGCAGATGCAGTTTGGATATCTCTTTGCAAGTCCATAACAGACGCTCTACCAACACCTGGAATATCATAAAATACACATAAAAAATCATACAAAAATGAAATAATAGTAGCCGGGTTGTAGCACACCTACTAGGTTTAACTGTGAATCTAAATATTGGGGAACACGTGATGAAAGCCCATTAAAATCGGCACAACAGTTTAGGAGGAGTCAAGCATTTACAGAGATAAAAAAAAAGTAAAGTAATAGGGCTTGGCTTGAACAAATAATGCGTCCGTGTAGTGACGGATTAAGAATAAGGAGTATCACCACCCCTATTCACCCCGTGGGTGTCGTAGAAGCCAACTAAGGGAGCAAACTACGCAGGACAACAGCACTGCACAGACAATGAAAACTTAAAACAACCCGTCTGGTCAGGGTGGTATAGAAGGCCAAAACCTCCTTTGTAAAAAGAGGCCTATGTCCAGCAGTGGACTGATAGAAGCTGTTGATGATGATGACTTATGTATGTGTGCATATCCTACACCACACACACGTTTTAACACAATTTATGCCTCATTAATATAATTTATTACTTACCTTGATTGATGAAGATGATGATGATGATGATGATAAACAAATAGATGCCATAATTTGTAATACATACATATTTAAAGGTTATAATAATTATGAATTAGCCAATAAAAACAATGTTCTCTGTAAACGTTTAATGATGTTTGTTAAAAGGCTCAAAGTTCGACGATAGTTATAAATTTAATAGTAGTAACATATCACGCATACTAATTTTAAACATACACTTTTTTAATCTAAAATCCATAATTATGGAATAGGCTTTCATTAATTTAGTTAAATTTACGTTCCTTCGTTCCTTGCTCAGAGCCTTTTTTCCAAACTATACCGGGACCGACGGCTTAACCGGGTCTCCAGGGGTCTCAATGTGTTAAGAAATGGTCACCCATCCATAGACTGACCTGGCTAGGATTGCTTAACTTTGCAATATGTTAACCTACTCGGTTACCACTCAGTCATTCACTCACGAGCCTTAACTTAATTTACAAAAATATTTTTCTAATAAGATAGTAAATTTGCTACAAGATCTACAGGATGGCGGTCCGACCGGCTCTGACATGTATACGGTGCATAATGCTGGACGGTAATAGAAAAGCATGCGCATAAATTACATACCAAGGAACTAAAAATGGTCGGGTCGGGTGACAAGGCATGACTAATATACAATGCATGATGATAATATAAAAAAAAGACTTGTGGCATTCGGGGACTGCCGCGGTAAAGCTATTGCATAGCATTTTGTATCAACTTATTTCTTTTTCTTTGATATTAATTCAAGTTACACTTTTTGAGCGTGGTGACCGATAAGAAAACAGTTTTTTTTCTTTTATTAAATAAAAATATTGAATGCTTCAATATTTTTATTTCAATATTACAATTTGTTTTTAAATAAATAAATAAAAAATATTATTATTAAATCAAATTACATATCCATGTAAGATTTTTCTGCATTATGTTGACGAAATTTCCTTTGACGTTCAGCATTTGATTTTGGTACTGTTTTTTGTTTTGTTTTTAGCGTGAGGTTTTTTTTCGTTACGGAATTTCTGGATTCAGTCCCCGCGCTCAAGGCCCTCGATAGAAGCTATGCAATAGCTTAAAACTTCGCACATCTTACACACGACCGTCTGATCCCAAACTAGGCAGAGCCTGCTCAATGATAACCAGACTGCTGAATATATTTCTAAATAGGGTAAGCTGAACTATTGTTCGCACCCCATTAGTCATTAGCAATCTTAATTTTAAACAAAATATAAAGGATCGATATTTTAAAATATATTTTTTGAAGCGTATACCAATTTTATATATATATATATATATATACAGATAGTAAGCTTAGTAAAAATAAACTTTTTATAATTTTAATGTTTATACTAACTAATTTTAACTAACTTTTTTAAACTTGGTAACTCATAATTAATTATGGATGTAAAAATAATAGTATTTAAAAGTTATCAAAGAACCCTTAAAGTGCCAATCATTGTAAAATATCTCGGTGTAATAATAGATAGCTCCTTGAGCTTTAATTATCATTTAGACCTCGTATCTTCTAGAACTCGTAAATTAATATATTTATTTAAAACCTTGCGTCACATTGCAGATAAAACCACAATTAGAATTTTATACATGTCCTTATGCCAACCTATATTATCTTACTGCATATCAGTGTGGGGGGGTGCCTCCAAAACTTCATTGATGAAGGTGGAAAGAGCCCAAAGAGCAGTTCTGAAGGTGAGCCTTTCCGTGCCTTTCTTGTACCCTACGAGACACCTTTACAAAATCTCGGATGTCCTAACTGTGCGTCAACTATATCTCTTGAGCATTATACTTAAACAGCACGCATTACTTCCTTACAATCCCTCACCCCCAAATAAACGCCTGATGCACAAAGTCTGTCCCGCAAATGATAAGGGCAATAGATGGTTTACATCCTTTGCTCGCAAATTCTTTGGTTGCCTAGGTAGATACATATACAATAAAGTTAACCAGATATTGCATATATATTCATGTACAAAATACGGTTGCACAACCGCTGCCACTCGCTGGCTAAAGTCCCTTAGCTATGAGGAAACAGAGAGCCTGTTACAGGTCCCGTCTTGAAATGCGCTGTCCCAGACTCACTCAAAATAACCTAGAGTAAGATTGTTTATTGTAACCATATCTGTGTGAGAGAGAACAATAAAATATATTATTATTATTATTGTATAGTACCTTATATATATATACGTATTACTAATATATTGAGACACAGTTATTTGTCCTGGGTGGGACGCTAACTCACGACCTACGCCTTAGCAGTCAGTGTCACTAACCACTAGACTATCAGGCCCGTCAAATGTGCTGTTGATGGATCTGCTTCTGTCTAGCTTTTTAGGAAGTAAGTTAATCCTGTGTAAAAAACTGTTTATATTTATAAATAACCATTTGAAAAAAATCATTAGCAAAAACTCTAAACTAATATTTTATTAAACAAAATCCCCCGCCGCGTCTGTCTGTCTGTTTGTGATAAACTCAAAAACTACTGAACGGTTCTCACTAATAGACAGAGTGATTCATGAAGAGGGTTTATATGTAGAATTTGTTTAGGCTTAGTGCAAATTTGTTGAAATATGACGAAAATAATCAAGCCGCCTGGAAGCTTCTTTGTAGACATATGTTACATTTAAATCTAATCCATATATTCGACGCACAAGTTCATATGACCCTATGACAGAAAAAACATGAAGGCATGCTTTACTATCCTAACGAGTTTAATATAATTTTTTTTCTCCCAAAACTCTATAATGTTCTACAGAGTATAGTCATTCTAAAGGTTGCCCGTGCGTAATCGTAGACTGCGATAAGGTCGCCCATTGTATTTTTTTTTTTCCTTAGTTTTCTACGTTGTATGTTTCCTAACCATCGTGTGCAATGAAGAGTACCTATCTATGTATCTAACACTCATACAATCCGCTCTCTTCCCTTTCTATCCCTCTTTTATCTCTTTAAAAAACTAATAAAAAACGAACTGTTTTGGTCTCCATGTTCTACCTACCTTGCCAATAAAGCCTGTAGCTCCGGTTATAAACACTTCTCTGCCAGCATAGAACTCAGGGATGAGCGGTAGTGGCGCTGACTGCGGAGACGGTCGAGGCACCATCGTATACAAGTAGTATCACTTATCTGTTCAGAAACAGATTTGCATTGTGATTTTATTAAATACCAGTAGCTACGACACAAACTTTCCACAAGAGGACAAATAATAAGTAATCATAACACATAATGTTAGCGAGACATGTGTCGCATAAACTGATACTTATAACAAAAACAAAACAATTAAAACTAAGAAAGCCTGATATATTTTTTTAATCTAATATTGGACAAGCGAAGAAGCACTTCTTCGCTTGTCCAATATTAGATAAAAAAAAATATGTTAGAGGGTGCAGACGAGCAGACGGGTCACCTGATGGAAAGTGACCATCGCCGCCCATGAACGTCTGCAGCTCAGGAGTCACAAAAGCGTTGCGGGCCTTTTAGGAAGGAGTACGCCCTCTTCTTGAAGGTTTGAAGGTCGTATCGGTCCGGAAATACCGCAGACGATAACCCGTTCCACAGATTGGTTGTGCGGGGCAAAAAGTGTCTCGACAAGCGCACAGTAGTGGAGCGCCAACTATCCAGGTAATGGTATTTGTCCGAACAATTCCTCGGAGCACTCTCCATGACATATGCGATAGAGAATGCAGAGTGAAGCTACATCTCTACGTAACGCCAACGAATCGAGCCGGTCGCAAATCTTTTGGCTATCGACGATTCGAGTCGCTCTTCGTTGGATGCGATCCAGAGGGAGAAGCTGGTACTGAGGTGGCCCTGCATAGAGATGAGAACAGTATTCCATATGCGGCCGGACTTGCGCTTTATAGAGCTGAAGGCGGTGGTGATTGAGAGCACTAGAACTTAGGTTTATTTTTTTGGGACTAATCCCTCCCACACGCCTATCACTATAACTTTTGTACACCGGGATTAACAGCAAGGAAGGAAGTCCCAGGAAAAATTTAACTGTCTTTCAACCCGCAACGAAATTAATCAGAAGAAAATTGGAGGAGTTAGGTATATCATCACTTTCTTAACTTTTTTCCAAATTTATTTAGGATCAGTACCAAAAGTTCCACCTAATCTTCCACCTAATCCTTTTTTCTCGCAATCGTTCATTTCATTGCAAGATGCGTTTGGCTTTTTTCTTTATTATTTCATTGTATAAAACTTCCACACAATGACAAGCTTCCACACAGCCGTTCAACCCTTATTTTCCCTCGTTAGGGATGAAATTTCCAAAAACCCTTTCTTAGTGGGTGCTTACAACATAAAAAACATCAGCTGCCAAAATTTCAAGTTTGTAGTGCCAGCGGAGTAAGCTCTGCGTTCATGAATTAGTCAGTCAAGCAAAAGAAATTTTAAATGTTTAGATATTTATTATAAAGAGCTTTCAAAAAGTCTATGCTGTAGGTAAGTACTTTTTTAAATGCTAACTATTACCTTAAAAAAAGGATAATGTTCAATTCTGTTTCCGGTTGTGGCATTCATCATCATCATCATCAACAGCTTTTAATAGTCCACTGCTGGACATAAGCCTCTCCTTAGAAAGGAGGTTTTGGCCTACTATTTGTACTATTTGGTTGTGGCATTCAGTGTGTGGCTAGTGCCCCGCATTGCCTCACTGTGGCTATGGCAATGGTAGAGGCACAGACGTAACAATCCGTCTATGCAGTATTTCTCTCATATCCCGTCTCTTTTAGATACTTTCTCATTTAAAGTACAAAATTTCATGATGAAAAACAAACTGACACTTTTATTAATACCTAATAGTTGATACTTTGTGTTGTTTATGAAATGTAATTTGACTAATTTTTTGTCTTTATTCTACAAAAGTGCGGACTTCAAAATTACCTTTTCAAATAATCTACTAATATAATTATAATGATTGCTAAGTACTACGTGCTTTTAGATATTTATTAAAGGTGACGGGTTTATTTACACAGTACTGTATGACGGTATGTATGACTGTCTGGGTGGCGACGGATTAAGAATGCGGATCCCTATTCATCCCGTGGGTGACGCAAGACTCGACTAAAGGAACAAACTAAGCAGGACAACAGCACTACAAAGAGAAGGAAAACTTGAAACAAACCCTTTACTAATCCGTCTGGGCAGTGAGGCAGTAGGCAAAAACCTCCTTTCTAAGGAGGGGTCTATGACCAACAGTGGCCTATTAGAGGCTGTTGATGGATGATGATGAGTGTATGAATTGGTCAGAGGAATCGGACTTCCCGTTTTCAACCGTATTAGCCAGATCTCTTCTGCTATCATTTATTTATTTATTTACAACTTTATGCACTTATCTACATCGGCGGACTTTCTGCCCAGGGTATTCTCTACCAGTCAACCTTTGGGTGGTCTAGAAATCTTGTAAGGTAGGTGCACCTGTAAGAGGTTACATAATATTATGTTATCAAAGAGAATAAATGATTTTTTTAACCAATAATGATAAGGAAACTTTTTTTCAATTATATACCCACTTAACTACAAACATATCCGTATATACGAGTACAGACGTACTTATTTATTTCAACATATACATAGGTATACATAGGTGTAGGTATATATCGACGCCCCCCGCGAATAATCCGGTTATCGTAAAAGTGTAAATGTTCAGGAAAAATAAAAAAACATTTTTCCTTAATAACTCTATTAAACAACAAGTATCAGAGACTTTTTATATCGCATATGGAAGCTAATTTTTTCAGCTATCTGGTTATTTCAACAAAATTAAAGTAGTCCCAAGGGCTGCGTTATAATTTAGCTGGATGCATTTTACTATATTAGTGTAGGTCAAGCTCTGGTCAGTAATGTCACTTACGATATTGTTCGTGTAAATTTATATTTTCGACGGTAACAGCAAAATCTTGTTGCGATATTATTTGTATAAATTTATATTTTCGACGACAACGGTAATATCGTGTTGCGCTATTATTCGATTGTTTAACAGTAACGTACATTTTATTGTTATGACTATTACTGTTTATTCGAATAGGTTACTGAAGACACGACTATTACACATGATTACACAATCATGAAAATTATAATAAGGTCCTATTGCAGTTAAAAATCTTAATCAGAATCCTCATCGTGACCTGATTCAGTATCACAAAAGCTTAAATTCCTATAAAATGGTTGATAATGGTGGGGAATTTAAACAACCAAAGTTGTTTCATTTACTAGAATGTCCTTTATTTCATAAAATATACTATAATAATCATCAAAAATACTTAAGTAAACTATTCGAATAAACAGTAATAGTCGTAACAATAAAATGTTACATAAATAAGGTAGAAAACTATTTACCCAAATAATATCGTAAAGTAATTTTACTGTTAAATCATATTGATATTTTTTTTCGTAAAGATCTAAAACCATATTATTCGTCTAAAATACATTTTAATGAATTTTTATGGAATATACGCGTAGTTTTTCATATCTTCGTAAATAAAGATAGAAAAATTCTGAAAAAAAATTACATGGTGTATTTTAACTTCTAGATGCCGAAAAACGCCTAACATGAAAAACCCCGTAATAGGTCATTACCGGATTATTCGCGGGGGACGTCGATATGTATACGTATGTGTATAAAGTGATATAGCCGCACACTGTGAAAACTAGACTAAAAGGTGGTGTACTCTCGATTAGCTAATTCTGTCATCTTATCAAGTAGGTAATTATGAAACGTTTTTGAAACACGAAACGTGTTGTGGACATCCTGATCTCAAGTAGGAGCGCATTTCGCTGTTATCTATACCCGTATTCAACGACTCCTATAGCTTTATTTACAGTCGTTTTGTCATTTTTAGGTTTCCGTACCCAAAGGGTAAAACGCGACCCTATTACAAAGACTGCGCTGTCCGTCCGTCCGTCTGTCTGTCCGTCTATAGCTCATTAACCGTGATAGTTGGGCCGTTGAAATTTTTACAGATGATGCATTTCTGTTGCCGCTATAACAACAAATACTAAAAACAGAATAAAATAAATATTGAAGGCGGCTCGCATACAATAAACGTGATTTTTTTTTGCTCATTTTTGTTCGATATTGATAACGGCAACAGGTAAATATTCACAAAATATTAAATTATAAATTCACTTTAAAAATAAATAATTAAACTAAAATAAAACAAATATTTAAGGGGGCTCCCATACAACAAATGTGATTTTTGGCCGTTTTTATAGATAATGGTACAGAACCCTGCGTGGGCGAGTCCGACTCGCACTTGGCCGTTTTTTTAATTTTATAACATACTAGTTTTGCCCTTGGCTCCACTCGCGTGTATGTCGGTTATCGCGTTAAATAGTATGCCTAGTAGCCTATGTCCTTCCTCAAGAATCAAACTATCTCCATACCAAATTTCATTTAAATCGGTTTAGCGGTTATTGATCCCCAATACAATCTTCCACCTCCTTTTCACCCTTTTAAAGGTATCCTACCTGGGACTCAGACTATACAAAATTTCTTCTAAATCGGTTCATTAGTTTAAGCGTGAAGAGATTACAGACAGACAGACACACTTTCGCAGTTATATATTAGTATGGATTTGTTTAAAATTTACCTTTTTTCATTTTTATTGCATCTTACAGCCAGAACTCTTACCCGACAAATAGTATTTTCAACCGGAACATCATACTGTTATAACATAACCTAACCTAAATGATTTAATAACAGTCGATAGTATCTGACGCAGCATTCGAAAGTACTATTGCCCCGTTGTACAAGATCCAGGAGGGGGCGATTTAATAAATCTTAAAACGTGTTCTTTCAACGAAATATTCTCACATATTAATGTACAGAAAACAATATGTAATACCAAAACGTTAGACTCATATCAGCCTGAGGAACAAGCCGGTTTCAGAAGTGGTTACCACACGTTAGACAATATATTGTCTCTGAGAATCGTCATAGAAAAGACGACTGAATACCAGATGCTACTGTGGCTGCATTTTCATAGATTACAAGAAAGCATTTGACAGTGTTGAATCATGATCAGTCCTAGAATCGCTACAAAATGCATGTATAGACCATCGATATACGACTCTGATCACATCGAATCGATGAACACTAAAAGTCAACCTACCACCAATCACTGAGACAGTTCTAATTGAGAAGGGTGTAGGACGCTTTCACCAGGGCTGTTTGCTTTGGTGCTGGAGGACATCTTAAGAAGTCACTGGGAAAATCGCGTAATTAATTTGCGTTTTGCTGATCACATCGTTTTGCTGGCAAACAACCTTGATGAACTACAATGCATAATCCAAAAACTCAGCGATGCCTCTATTCGTTGTAGCCTGGAAATGAATTTGGACTAAACAGAAGTTATGACAAATACAGATCTTAACCCCACCATCAAAGTTAACCATACCATAAAGGATAGACAAATATGTATGTTTGGGTCAGGAGATAGTTGCCAGTAGAAAGAATCAAGCGAATGAAATCTGGGCTAGATAGACTATTTGAGTTTCCCTAAAAATTAATCTCAAAGTTTCAATCTTATCGTTCTTTCTCCGTTGGTACTTATGGGTGGTATTCACCCTTACCAATACCATAGTTGACGTGGCCAGGTGTACTGAGAAAAATGGGAGAATCACATTTAAGACCAATGGTGCTGGACAACAGAGCATGGTTACGAAAGTACCAAACGGGCAGGCTCAAAGGAAAAGGTGATTTTTACTTAATCAAGTCAAAGCCCGTAAATCTATGAATGAAACGTTTTCCTTTGTGAAAACTGAAAAATACTGGTGATTTTAACTTCTAGATGCCGAAAAACGCATAACATGAAAAACCCCGTAATAGGTCATTACCGGATTATTCGCGGGGGACGTCGATATGTATACGTATGTGTATAAAGTGATATAGCCGCACACTGTGAAAACTGGACTAAAAGGTGGTGTACTCTCGATTAGCTAATTCTGTCATCTTATCAAGTAGGTAATTATGAAACGTTTTTGAAACACGAAACCTGTTGTGGACATCCTGATCTCAAGTAGGAGCGCATTTCGCTGTTATCTACACCTGCATTCGACGACTATTATAGCTTTATTTACAGTCGTTTTGTCATTTTTAGGTTTCTGTACCCAAAGGGTAAAACGCGACCCTATTACAAAGACTGCGCTGTCCGTTTGTCCGTCTGTCTGTCCGTGTGTAGCTCATTAAGCGTGATAGTTGGGCCGTTGAAATTTTTACAGATGATGCATTTCTGTTGCCGCTATAACAACAAATACTAAAAACAGAATAAAATAAATATTGAAGGCGGCTCGCATACAATAAACGTGATTTTTTTTGCTCATTTTTGTTCGATATTGATAACGGCAACAGGTAAATATTCACAAAATATTAAATTATATATTCACTTAAAAAATAAATAATGAAACTAAAATAAAACAAATATTTAAGGGGGCTCCCATACAATAAATGTGATTTTTTTGCCGTTTTTATAGATAATGGTACAGAACCCTGCGTGGGCGAGTCCGACTCGCACTTGGCCGTTTCTTTAATTTTATAACATACTAGCTTTTGCCCGCGGCTCCACTCGCGTGTATGTCGGTTATCGCGTTAAATAGAAGCCTATGTGCTACCTCAAGAACCAAACTATCTCCATACCAAATTTCATTTAAATCGGTTTAGCGGTTATTGATTCCCAATACAATCTTCCACCTCCCTTTCACCCTCTTAAAGGTATCCTACCTGGGACTCAGACTATACAAAATTTCTTCTAAATCGGTTCATTAGTTTAAGCGTGAAGAGGTAACAGACAGACAGACACACTTTCGCAGTTATATTTTAGTATGGATTTGTTTAAAATTTACCTTTTTTCATATTTATTGCATCTTACAGTCAGAACTCTTACCCGACCAAAAGTATTTTTAACCGTAACATCATACTGTTATAACATAACCTAAATGATTTAATAACAGTCGATGGTATCTGACGCAGCATTCGAAAGTACTATTGCCCCGTTGTACAAGATCCAGGAGGGGGAGATTTGAATAAATACACCTTTTTTTCCAAAGCGTATAATTCCTCCAGTAGAGGGCACTTGTTCGACGAAATAATAATAAAACCAAGCTTATATTACAATCCTGATGACCATAAAAAATCTGCTCCTTATACAGCTGAGTGTGAACGAAACTATATCGCGATCTAACTCAACACTTACGCCCTCTATCGAGCGCAGCGACAACAGGTATAGTTCCTTTCACAGCCAACTTATTACAATTTATTATTCTAACTTAGCTTATATTGTTTACAATCGGACACTACGAGTTCTAACAGTAATATATACATAGTTAAACTTCAAATATTCCCCCATACCTCTCAGTGCGGGTTTACTTAAAACGTGTTCTTTCAACGAAATATTCTCACATATTAATGTACAGAAAACAATATGTAATACCAAAACGTTAGACTCATATCAGCCTGAGGAACAAGCCGGTTTCAGAAGTGGTTACCACACGTTAGACAATATATTGTCTCTGAGAATCGTCATAGAAAAGACGACTGAATACCAGATGCTACTGTGGCTGCATTTTCATAGATTACAAGAAAGCATTTGACAGTGTTGAATCATGATCAGTCCTAGAATCGCTACAAAATGCATGTATAGACCATCGATATACGACTCTGATCACATCGAATCGATGAACACTAAAAGTCAACCTACCACCAATCACTGAGACAGTTCTAATTGAGAAGGGTGTAGGACGCTTTCACCAGGGCTGTTTGCTTTGGTGCTGGAGGACATCTTAAGAAGTCACTGGGAAAATCGCGTAATTAATTTGCGTTTTTGCTGATCACATCGTTTTGCTGGCAAACAACCTTGATGAACTACAATGCATAATCCAAAAACTCAGCGATGCCTCTATTCGTTGTAGCCTGGAAATGAATTTGGACTAAACAGAAGTTATGACAAATACAGATCTTAACCCCACCATCAAAGTTAACCATACCATAAAGGATAGACAAATATGTATGTTTGGGTCAGGAGATAGTTGCCAGTAGAAAGAATCAAGCGAATGAAATCTGGGCTAGATTAGACTATTCGAGTTTCCCTACAAAATTAATCTCAAAGTTTCAATCTTATCCGGTTCTTACTCCGGTTGGTACTTATGATGGTGGGTATTCACCCATATACCAATACCAATAAGTTGACCGTGGCCCAGCGTGTACTGGAGAGAAAACTGGTAGGAATCACATTGAGAGACCAATGAGTGGCTGAGACAACAGAGCATGGTTACGAATGTCACCAAACGGGTAGTAGTAGTCGTAATAGTCTTTGATGTATGATATTTGCAATTTGATTGTGTCTATGTGTGTAGTCTGTCTGTGCAAGATTAGCGCATGCACCAGTGATATGTTGAATTGTTTCTGCTTGGTTGTGACATTTTCTACATCTATCGTCTGTTGCTGTAGGATCTTTGAGAATTTGTTTTTTATAGTTTTTTGTGTTGATGATTTGATCTTGGATGGCTATGATGAATCTTTCAGTTTCCGGAAATAGGGATCCAAGAGTGAGCCATTTGTTTGATGCTAACTTGTCTTGCTTATTATTATTATATGGCCCGTAATACCGATTCTTGGAGCAAGCGGTTACTCGAGAGGCGACCATGGGATCAAAAACGCCCGCCAGGAAGACCAGAGATGCGTTGGGATGATGATATCAAGAGAACAGCTGCTGCAGGAAGGCTGCTCGCTCGCCTTGGGACTCACACTAATCAAGAATTTTCCATTTTCTTTTTGTAATCGATAATAATAATACTTGGCACTTCGCAAGTTGTACTGTTTACAACTATTACTTTAGGATTCTAAAGATACTTAAAATTAACTATTATTCGATCCCGCGACTCCTGGTGTGTAGCCGAAAGCACTTCAGCCACACCACGAGGATCTTAAACTGTAATAGTTTTGTGTTTAGTGCAAAAGAAAAAAAAATGCCTTCGGAAAATAATTGCGAAGATATTAACAACAAATACCTATGCTTCATTACCAACTTAATGTTTAGTTAAAAATGAAAATACAGTTAAAACATAAATAAATATATTTATTTACTAATTAGTCACCAAAACACACTTAAATATTTATTAGGAAAATATGAATAATAACAAATTTAATAACATGTATTTACACTTTTAAGTTTTCAAAAAAAAACAATATTGGTTTTTTTTTTTTAATCAGGACCTTAAAAATCATTATCATTAGTTTGCCCTCTACTCCATAAAAAAAATGCATGCATTACGTCGTTAAGGGTTGTAGTTTGTTACTGTTAAGATACCAACCGTCCCTGAGAATGTAATCGTTTTGAGATGGAACTAAGGGAGAACGCAAACGGGAGTAAGAAGAACAGGTAGGGAAAGGGAGATAGAGTAACAAATAACAGAAGTCTCGGAAAAATGGGAAATGGCACTAGTAGCTCGAAAAGGCCGAAGTCGCATCTTCCGTGTGTCTGTGATGTGAATATTAGTGGAGTGGGTTTATTATATTTCCAACTGGTATAATTTCCTTCTTGCGAGTTCCAAGACAATTAAACTTTTAATAGGACTGCCCGAGTGTCATTACTCGGTGAGTTCGTTGGTCACTGATGTTGATCCTGGTGTACAGGAGTTACAATAGTGGGCTTATGGGGGATTAGTCCCATGTCTGTCATGTGCCTTGAGATCCCACTAGGACAGGAGCTTCAATTGGCCATGACAACAAAATAATATCTTGTAAAAAAATCCGAATTTAATAAAAAAAACCTCGTTAAAACATTAACGTTTTGTATATTTTAAATACGTCACTAACCGATAAACTATGATACTTATACAAGTTTAAATGACAACTGATAGCTGTCAGCTCAATTAACGGTTTATGACGTCATGTATATGTTATACTTACTTTTTCAGACTTTCATAAATTTCATAAAAAAATAAAATGTTTCTAAGTTTCACAATTAATAATTTTGCTAAGTCGTGAAATAAATTTGTGGTGAACATCAGTAGTAGGCGTATTTTGATCAAAAGACGGTGAGCCTAGTGGGTAAGTGAAGTACCAGCCAACAGAGGAACAACGCTATCACGAATTGCACCAGTCGGTGAAGTATATGTAGCCTGTAAATACATTATGTAATAAATAAAGGAGTTGACTTTTCATGTATTTTTGACCACATTTATAATAGCGGTCAAATGGTTTCGCTACTCACCAATAGATGGCACTATTTGTTAAACTTCGGTCGCTCACGGCCTATATTAACAGCAATTCAATGGTGCGTTTTATTAACGCATGGTTGCATAGCTATTTACGTGTTGGAATACAGATCTTTGTACACAGTTTAAACATAAATTGTTCAATAATTCAATAGTTTATCATTTATTCAATATTTTTTTAAAGTTTCTGTGGATTAATATTTACTTTATTTATTTTATAGCAAAAAGATACTCATATTGGTGGTAATCATACAGGCAACACTTACAGGCGCATCCGCGAGTGGGCTCGTTCGATGTCCTCGTCTTTTTCCTTTAGAAGGTAACGACGCGTTCCCTGTATGAACTTCTCGCAGTGATCGTTCCAACTGAAACACACATATATTATGTAATCAAAAATTTGTTTTCAGAGCTTTTCGATCAGGTATTCTTTGATTTCTGAAGTGAATTACAAGTGGATTAAAATCCGAGAGTTTGGAGAGGAATGGCCCTCGCGCCTCTCACTCACTCTGTGAAAAGCAAGGAAAGAAATTGTTGGGGTTTTGGTGCGAGTTTATTGTGCATTAACTTGATCATCGACGACGACAGCGTTCGGTGTTGCGATTGACCCGCACTGAACTCTTCACCAATTCTATATTTCACTCCTGCGAACGCTTTCTGAACTTTGTCTTTTACTCTGTAGAAAATTATGGCTAAGCAACTAGATATACTACCCTGCTATAAGCTATAAGAATGCTACCCTGAGGTACTCCAAGACACAAGTTAGGCCTGTGTTACAATCATTAGGGTTCTCTAATGTTTTATATTATTAAATAACTATTGAAAGAAGAAAATTTCTCACCACCAATTCCTTATATCTCGAGCTATCTCGAGTCATCATTATCAAAGAGCATGGGGACAGAGATGGTATCGAACGCTTCTTTGGATTTGAAGTCAAAGTATTTAGTATGTCTTTTTGGCTTAGATTAATGCTTACAACTATACTAATCAACTAATTCCAATTAATGTCAGACAACTTAGTCTTAAGTTTGAGTCTTTCTCATAAAACAGTCAATTAGAAAAATACTCACTCAATTGCCGATACGTCGAGATTTAAGATAGCGGAATCAGCAGGGGTCAACCTTTCTCTTAGACGTCGAACATTATCGGTATTGAATTTCCATTCGTTGGTCATGAAGAACTGGAGACTTTTGCTCATAGTTCGGAGACGCTTACTAATGGTTGCAAGGTTTAGACTGTAAAACAGAAGAACGAAATTTTTATCAAGAAAATATTTTACATTATGTTGCATATTCTGGTCTTTGTAGCCTTTAATAAAAATGGATAAAAATATTAATATCAATGTTTATATTTTTAAGCAATGCAGAAAATAGAAGTTGTAGGTACTGAAGAATATTGCCCACAAAAATCGAAAATCATAAATGCCATCGATAAAAGTACAGCTGGCCAATCAGTTAGAGACCCTGGCTGCTACGGCGAACGACTACTGGACGACGAAGTGGATTGATAATAGCACAAATTTGTAAAAATGTTGTTTCCATTATGGTTAATTTAAAAAAAAAACGACGGGTTGCACTCCGGGAGTGCCGGCAGAAGTGAAAACTTGAATATTAACGTTGTGCATTTTTGGTATTTTGGAATGGTTAGGGAATAATTTTGCACGAATTGCTTTATTTATCAGTATAAAAGTTATGTGGTAGAATACAATATTTATTTATTACGCTATCGTACACAAACATGACAATTTATATTACATTAAAAAGTTTATCTCTGCGCCCTGCGCCGCCTAAACGAAACAGCAGGCGCAGGCATACATTTTCGCCGCGCCGTAGAAAGAGAGTATATAAGTATCCCCCATACTTCCTCTCCAACGCCGAGCCGGCTGTCTACTCTCCATCCGTCTTACGAATTTTCGATCAGGTCACGTGTCCTGACGCGAGTTTAACATCTTTTACCCATTACAAAACAAAGTGTACAACGCCGCTAAAGAAGTTTTCACTTCAAAAACTCTATTAAGTGGTAGACGCAGGGGGCTTTATATCTTCAAGGCTCACAAGATGTAAAAACTGAACAGTGATAGTTAAGCTTAAAAAATTAACAAGAAAAAGAATTAGGGGCAATCTCTCCTAAAATAACAGCGCTAAATTAGTCGTTATAGTTTTCTAAGTTCGGTATACTACCATCCCGTTTCATTTCAGATTTTTCAATATTTAGAAAACGTATCACTGAACCCTTCTATATTTTTGAAATCCAATGATGCCCAACACTATGGGATATCCGAGAAATAAAAATTAATTCCCACTTTACAAATCGATCTAAGTGGCATGCAATGGGAGAGGCCTATATCCAGTAGTAGACTGCGATAGGCTGATGATGATGATGTACGGGAAGTACCCCAAAAAAAAATGTTCGTTAATTTTTTTTATACTTTACCTCTTTGTTGCTTGATTTATTAACATACTCTTGTAAAATATAGCTTTCTGGTATTAACAGTCTTGAAACTAAGCCTCGGAAAGACGTACAAACGAAACTGTTAGGGTTCCTAGTCCTAAGGAAACCTAAGAAAGAATCCATTACCCTAAAATTATTTTACCTTTACCGTCTTTTTAAGATTCCTTACCTTGTTTTAATTCCGAACATATTACATAGAAAGTCGATTGAGTGAAGAGGTACCACTTGCAACAACCACTGAGCTACTGTCAGAACGAATCTGAAAGAAACATGGCGTAATTTTGAAATGTGATAGAAGAAAAAGCTAAAAAGGATTAAAAAATGTAGTGTAAATGTTAGAAAACAGATAAGTGTATGTGAACGGAAATTGGAATTTATTTGCTGTGGTACTTAACACGTTGCTTTATGAACATCTGCTATGAAAATGGTTACGGTTAGTTAGCTGGAGGCCTAAAAAATCCGACAACAGTCTTTCAGAACTTCAATATCACCTAATCTTGGGATATGGAGGTCGGAAGGCAGTCGTTCCCCGTAAAAACTTGAAGTTCAACCGTATAGTAGTAGATTAAAAGCCGACCTCAACCTAGTTTGGGAAAAAAGACTCGGAGGAACAAATATTTAATTTGATAACTATACAATATCTTTTCGCTAAACGATTAAAATAATGTAGCTACTAAAGTCAGCGTCTGACACAGCAAACGTGTTTTCGTCTATGTGTGCAATTCGGAACAATATCAAATGAGGGACTGAGGTATCGTTTTATGGTATTTAAGTGTCAAAATTTGGAATATCAGAGCATTCACTAGCACCTGATAAATACTCTTTTCTCCTCCTGAATTTCAGCAACTGAATTTCAGAAATAGTGATATTAACACGATTTTAAAAGGCGGAAATACTATATTAGAGTTTAAAAAACTGTGTCCTGCTTGCTATATGTGTGTCTGGGATGGTTACTGAACCAATTTAGCGCTAAAACTCTACTTATTTCATTGAGCACTTACTTGTTCTCTGTGAAAAACCCAAATGGATACCAAAGTGGTGTATCGAATGGATATTTGCGCACATTATGGAGCATGCCGACCTTGAACTCCCCCCAAGTCGTCGGATTGTCGTACGAACAACAATTGTACACACGAGTTTCCCGACACCTGGAATATTAAGTTTGTATACGTAACGTATACGTAAGAGTATTATATAATTAACTAGCGGTACCCTACCACACTTTGATGACTAACACGAGAAATAGATAAAAATCTTTGACGCAGTTCGTAGACGTGTCAAAATTTACGCTCAATCGGTGCAGAACTTGTTGCGTTTTTAAAGCCAGCTAAACATTTATACATATATAAATATAAGATATATCTTTGAACTTACTTGTCTATACCAGTTTCCCACGCAACGGCTATCAAAGTGTCGATAGCAATATCCACGGGTATCATGTCAGCCCTTTTGTTTCCTGAACAGTGGATAACGTGGAGTAAACCCTTTCCAGCGCTGACAGTGATTCCGCTGGGGCCATTGAGGTTCTCTATCCATCCTGGGAATGGATTTTGCAATGAGGATACCACTGGAAGTGAAAAAAAGATCAATGAAGTAATTATTGTTCAGGGGCCATCCAAGTACACACTAGAGGTGGACGGGGGTCTTTGATTTTATTTTTGATGACATGGGGGATGGGGGTCTGAAGGTGATTACGTCACCAATTATTATTTATTTATTTTATTTCTTTTTACAGATAATTAATTACTTATTTACAGATAATTAATTATTTTCGGCTCTATAAAATTGTCTATAGGGATGACACGGCGCTCCACACGCTGGCAGAATGCCCGGTGTGGGTGGAGCAGAGGCGTGACCTCGTGGCGGCCATTGGGGTGGGAGTTCTCTTGCTCGGTAACATGATTGCGGTTATGGTGCTGCGCGAGAGTGCGTGGAACTCCACCTTCTCCTTCTGCGAGCAAGTTATGCTTGCGAACCGGAGCGGGACCGGGAGAGGTATAGAACTCTCCCGGCACGCCAGGCCCGGGCACGTGTCAGGTGCCGCAGACGACTCGGGCACCGAAGGTCGCAGAACGAACTCCGTCCTCCATAAGGCCAGGCCTGGAGGTGGTAGGTGAGGCCATATGTCACCCTGGCAGAAGCAGGCCGCACCCGAGACGGCGTGTGGTTTTAAGTTGGTTCGAGTCCGACATAGCCACCGGTGGGTGGTATCCGAGGGGATTTCCGCACAGAAAAAAAAAGGAAAGGTCAATTTCGTAAAAAATAAACACAAATACAAGAGAGTAAGACAGTAATATTGCTTTACAGAATGTATTTTATTAAAATACAATATGATTATGATATTTTTGTTTTGATTTACAAATACTTACCTATAGATGGTCTGAATATAGCTGTAGCATATTTGGCGGCTAGCGCGCGCTCCGCCACCGCACTCTCAGCCATCGCCTTCGTGAACGTGTATGTGTTCGGTTTCGGCGAAATCAAACTATTCAAAAAATAATAACCTCGTTTCAATATTTTCTAGGGAAATAAAATTCTCATTATATGTACTGGTAACATTCTTAACAAGCTCACAACATTAGGTCTGGGGGAATGGAAGCATTTAACAATAGGGAATTAAACCATGGCTTTCGTCATTACCATTTCCGCTTCGTCGGTTGTCGTACTCACTTGCTTTGTCATCATCACCATGGTCTTTGCGATTGGGTTTTGGTCATGGCCTTTATGACATACGATCAGACTCATACATATTATACACAGAAACACTCAGACCAAATCAAACATTAAATGTTCAGACACAAACATGTTTGGCTTGAGCGGGAATCAAACTACTACGCCATCTGGTCGTCAAAATCAACTCAATTAACTCAATGATTTCTTTCGAATCAATTTACCTCGGAGTAACAGCTGTGAGGGCTTCTTTAGATAGATTATCGACAATGGACATGAGCTGGTGTGGATTCATTTGCGTTGTGTACACGCATTCTTCTATATTTGGAATGTCAGCGTTGCTGTACGCCGTCGAAATATACACCATTACCTAGAAGACAAGTAAGAATAAACTACAGATCTTTTTAATGAACGTGCTGTTCCTATGGGTCCCATTCGTCCAAAGAGGGAATCGAATCGAACCCACGACCTCTGACTTAGTAGTAAGAAGCACTCACCACTAGACTAACAGGCCGTATTATTGTTCGTTTTTATTTACTATTTGCGGAAACCATCGATTTGAGGAAAGTGAAATGAGAACTGCCCAAGACCGGGATAGTTCGTGCTTCTTGGGAGAGACCTTTATTTATTTTTTAAACTTAATGCACATGTTGTACAAAGGCGGACTTCATGCCAATAGGCATTTTCTCCCAGTCAACCTTCAGGTGATGTAGAAATATGATTTATTCAGTAGTGGATGGCGACAGGCTCATGATGACATGTAACTAAGTACTAATTTCTATGTTCTAACGTCTCGGTTGTCGTATTACCTGTATCATTGGAAGCTGATCGCAAAAGTCCATCACCTTGAGTACGGACTTGAGGTTCTGTTCCACCGCCACGTCAAGCATCTCATCGAACTTGACTATCGCTGCTGAGTGAAATACTACTGACACCTGCAATAAATTACAAACTCGTTTAGCATACGGATACTGTTCCAGGACCTTTGTTACAAAACACGCCAGCTAAGCCGCGGTTACTCTTCTACCTCAACTGGCTCTTGACTAAAGAGCTTAATGGTATACTAATTATGGAGGTATTCTCCTTATTACCTTTCTTAATCTCTGGATAGTGTCCTTGTTCAGACCAAGCTTCGGTTGAGTAATATCTCCAGCAACGATGCTCAACTTTTCCAGTTGTTTCGGACAACGTTCTCTGATCACATCAAAGACCTGGAATAAAAAGATAAACGGTAAATAAAGTGTTTTAAATAGTCTACTGCTGGACAGAGGCATCAACTTAGAAAGGAGGTTTTGGCCTACTGTACCACGCCGCGCTGGCCAGACGGTTGGTATAGTTTCTCTTAGTCTTGGTCTTTCGTAGTAAATAAATAAAAATCTTAAGTTTTAGTATGACTTAAAACTTAAATAAAATTTTATTGAAAACATGGGGCCGTGGGACGGCAAACACGTATCAAATTCATTTCGACAGCGATTCTGGAAAATATAGCACGTTTTTAGGGTTCCGTACCTCAAATGGTAAAAAAGGAACCCTTATAAGATCACTTTCTTATCCGTCTGTCGGTCTGTCCGTCTGTCCGTGTGTCACCACCGATTTTCTCAGGAACGGGTAGACCTAGCAAGGTCAAAAATCAAGGTCCTGAGTCAACACGATAACAAGATATGGGCAAATTTCGATTTTCGCGAAACCTTGTAAGTACCAAAATTTACCTTAATTTTCAACTTTTTTTTATTTTTTAGTATTTTCTCTTTACTTTTGCTGTAAGACCTTGCTTTTAACCACATTGACAATTCTAAATCAACCAGAAATTTTGCCATTTAAAAAACTCCAAAAGCTCCAATATATGTGTGTATATGTTAATTATTTTTTTGCTTTTTCCTTTACTAGTTAGTATTGGTAGACCTTGCTTTTTACCAAACTACATGATTTTCTTTTATCCTTTTGAGGCAAGTTTTTAGGTGTTGGATTTTATGGGTGAAATGTTAAAATTATTTATTGAACATACCTGCGACTGCTTCAGCTGCTTCAATCGTTTTTCTGGCGATACATCTTTCTTGGGTCGCATCAGCAGATGGAGCTTGGATATTTCTTGACAAGTCCATAACAGACGCTCTACGAGCACCTTGAATACAAAATCATCATCATCATCATCAACAGCCATTAACAGTCCACTGCTGGACATAGGCCTCTCCTTAGAAAGGAGGTTTTGGCCTACTATACCACGCTGGCCAGACGGGTTAGTATAGGGTTTGTGTCAAGTTTTCCTTCTCTCTGCAGTGCTGGTGTCCTGCGTATTTCGCTCCCTTAGTCGCCTCTTACGACACCCACGGGATGAATAGGGGTGGTGACACTCTGTATTCTTAATCCGTCACCGTCACGGACACAAAAAGTGAACTTAATTTACATGTTTTTCCGGGTTTGGAACTCCACAATATAACTCCATAAAATCTTTATATGGAAACGAAGAACTACATTATTCCATAGATTCACACACATGCATAGACATTATACACATACGCACACACATACACTCTCACACACTCGCAAGTGCACACAAGCAAACACACCAATCACATAATGTTAATTTTATGGAACTCTGTAACGGATTGTTCTTAATACAGGCAATTTAAGTGTAAAAGGTTATATTTTACGAATTAAATTATTTTTATTATCTCTACTTCCCTACTAATGTTATAAATGAAGAAAGTCTGTCTGTCTGTCTGCTACGGTTTTACAGCTAAACGGCTAAACCGATTTTAATGGCATTTGGCATGGAGATACTTTTATTATTGAGAAAGGACATGGGCTACTTTTTATCGAGATAACCGACATACACGCAGGTGGAGCTACGGGCGACAGCTAGTAATATATACATTGGGTGTACCAATATATGGATCACTTATTAAAATGACTGAAAGGAAATAACTCTTACACAACTCATACAAAATAATAATGAAAAAGACCTTTATTTAAAAGTTACGACCGTTTCAATTTTCAGATATTATCAACTCCGATTCTCATAAAATCAGATGGAACGCATAACGTTAAAGATTTTAAATAGATAGAGAAATAGAGAAAATAAAACATATGTTTTTATTTTGGAATTATTCAATCCATTAATGAGAAAATCTATTAAATAAAAACATTTCATAACTTTTGAAGTTAATTTTTATGGATTTTCTCATTAATGGATTGAATAATTCCAAAATAAAAACAAATGTATGTTCTTTTTTCTCTAGTAATAATTTAGTTCGATTTCAAATGTTAAACTACAAATTTTACCTGTACCTAATATCTGAAAATTGGAACGATCGTAACTTTTAAACGTAGTCTTTTTTCTTACCTTTTTAAAATAAGTGTTTAAAGCTAATGTCCCATCTTCATTATATTTAAATACCATCTAACTCAATGTTTGCCACATTGTTCTCCATTATAAATTATCAACGAAATCAAACCGCGATTAAAGAATGACAGGTAAAATTATTTATGACATATTCTCATACCTACCAAATATAAAAGAAGGCAATAAAATAGGTTGAGCCGTTTCAGTGACACAACATATTTATATATAAAGAAATATATTATAATGCCAACAAAATATTTACAACATTTACACTATTTACATACAAACATCAAAAACATCCTTCGGATAATCGCCTACTAGTAGCGTTCCCAGAAGACCGGCAGCATTGCCACGTTGAATGGCAATGCTAATTCTCTCTGCTAGAAAAAGGTCGGCCTTCTGATAATGAGAAGTGTGTGAGTGTATATTAGATGTTTTTGAATGTATAACTTTATATATATTATTGCATGTACGCATGAGATACTGTCTCTGTATGTTTCCAAAGTAAAATTTAACCTTACGCAATTGAATTTCTGTTCAAAGGCAGAAAGGTTTGAAAATATAACATATTTTATTATGAAGGATAAAAGTTGAAGCTGTTTTCTAGGTAAAAATTACGATTTACATATTGACTATCTTAATTACACAATCAGGTTTTAGAAATATATATGAAATGCAGTGTAAAAGTTACCGAAAAAACTTATTCGCTTCTTTACCTATTTAGAAAAGTTCAAATGTTTACAAAATATCCACCTGGTCGATAAAACACACCGCTATACAAACATATAACCCATTTTACTGAAATGTTCATTGAGAAAAAAGTAACAGATAGATACAGAACACGAGGAAAAGTGCTAAGATTTAAAAAATATTTATGTGATACACAGCAGTGTGTGTTATCTCTTAAAAAGAAAAGACAAATTAAAACAACTGTCTTCGCTGAAAATCGTTCGCCACATATGTGTAGTTCTTTTGTTAAATTTGTTTGAAAAACTAAATATGTCATTTTGTTGTATGCAACAATAGCCATCTCCTGGGAAGCTTTCAATTCGGCTGTTTATATATTTTTTATTATGTACGGGCATAACTCCGTCATATTTTCAAAATTCTTTGTTTGTTCAAAAGCAGTGATTCAGAAATGGCCCATCCAAATTTCATATAGATCTTATGATGAGTTTCGGAGACAGATAACGGAACTCTTAAAAAAAATAACAGCAAATCAACTCTTTTTTAGTATTGATTGAAGTTGGTTAAACTTTTTTTTCAAATAATTTATTGTTTGTAAATTCAAACAACTATGCCTAGAACAATTGGTTGTTGTGTTTTCATAGCACATGGTGTCTATATACGAGCCCGATACCTTAAACTGTTATTATTATGATTATAAAACGACGGTTAACCTTCAAGGAATGTCACAAAAAATTACAAGTTACATTTGGGAAGTCTGTTCCTGCGTTAACAATAGTTAGTTATTGGTTTCGTGGTCGAGGGAACCTAAACGGCCGACCGGCCGACCTACAACTGCAGTAACTCATGAAAATGTCATCACACACATACACATAGAGAGTTTCAGGATGAACTGAAGATTGGATCACAGGCAGTTTATACCATTTTGCATAAACATCAAGTTTGTCTGCCTTAAGCTTTCCGGGAGTTGAATAGCAAGCGACTAAGGAGCGGTGTCCGGGACATGCTTTTCACTAAGATTACGCGCCCACTCACACAACTGTTAAATTCAAGGACTATTTGCATACTTTAAAAAATGCTTCGTGGGAAAAAAAGGCACTGTAGAAGAGGCTTCGCTTAAATGTTTCTAAGGCTGGTTTTGATTATAGAAGAATATTTTGAAAAGCTATAAGTAAAAAAAATGATTTTACTTTCCAACTATATTTCATTTCACTAATCATTTTTAGAACAGCCCACGTACGTATATTTTAATTATATTTACTGTATATGGGAATCGAATCCGCGACCCTTAACATTCCAGCCGAAAGAACTATTGGTTTCCTGTTTCTACGCACCTTGCCCATAAATCCTGTAGCTCCAGTGATGAACAGTTCCCTGCCGGCATAGAACTCAGGAATAAGAGGTGGTGGGGTTGACCGCGGAGCGGGTCGAGGCACCATCGTTGATGACTGGTATCAGTTATCTGTTCAGAAACAGATTTGAGTTTTTAATTTATTATATTCATTTCTGTCAATACCTTAGAATAGGGAAAATGATGAAAAATCATGTCACATAGTATGAATGCAACATGTGTCGAATAGAAAATTTCATTATGTTTAGTTCTGCGTATAAATGTATATAAGAAAACACGTAGTGCTGTTTGTTTGTTAAGGCTAAATTTTAGAACTTGAACTTTGATCGTTTGATCTCTGTTTTAAATATGCGAGTCAGGTTTTTAGATATGAAAAAATAGAAAAAAAATAATTAAATTGTGATCTTTTTTTTTTAATTGCGTCATTGCGAAGCGCGTTATTGGCTACTGCTCCATTGACAAGAGTGAGGTTAAATAGTTCATAACCTTCGTAAGGGACATGTGGTTCAATAGGTTAGGACTTCTTACGTCGGTCGTACGTGGAATACGCAGTCATCAACAGCCTATAAATAGTCCACTGCTGGACATAGGTCTCTCCTTAGAAAGGAGGTTTTGGCCTACTATACCACGCTGGCCAGACGGGTTGGTATAGGGTTTTTGTCAAGTTTTCCTTCTCTTTGCAGTGCTGTTGTCCTGCGTAGTTTGCTCCCTTAGTCGGTTCTTACGACACCCACGGGATGAATAGGGGTAATAATAACTATTTATTAAAATCAAATGAATTTAGAGATAAAGTTTACACAGGATTAAAATGTTTTTTCGGCCCCCTCTTCCTCCTTTAATTGTATGACATTAATTGTATGAAAAAAAAAAAAAAAAAAAAACCTGTCAGGTACGTACGTACGCCCTCTGGCCTTAGTGTTGTCTGCTATGCAGATGACACTTTAATACTGGCTAGAGGGTCACACTTCGACGAGGTGCTTCGGCTCGCCGAGCATGGGGTGGCTTGTGTCGTGGGAAAGATTCATGAGCTGGGTCTGAGGGTGGCGCCTCAGAAAACTGAAGCGATATGGTTCCATGGCCTACGTAAGCGGCAGGAACCACCCAGCTCATGCCTCCGGGTGGGTGACGCCGAAGTCCAGGTGGGCCGGTACATGAAGTACTTAGGCCTCATCCTGGACAGTCGGTGGAGCTTCGAAGAGCATTTCGTGCGATTAGTCCCCCGAGTGCGCGGGGTAGCGGGTGCACTGCATCGCCTGCTGCCCAATCTCGGGGGACCACGGGAAGAAGTTCGCCGTCTCTATATGGGGGTCGTGCGATCCATGGTCCTCTATGGGGCGCCCGTCTGGTCTAATGACTTGGCGGGTGCCTCCCGCTGCAAGGCTCTACTCAGAAGCCTACAGCGGTTGATGGCCATACGGGTCGTACGGGGTTATCGTACCATCTCGTTTGAGGCGGCGACGGTCCTGGCTCGATATCCACCCTTCGACATTCTGGCCGACATGGACGCGATGGTCTATGACCAAGTCCGTTCTGTCGGTCGGAATGGTGAGGAGGCCGCGCCGGATCATGAGCCCGGAATGCTACGGCGGAACGCGCATACGCAGGCTTTGCGAGCGTGGCAGGCACGGCTTGTAATCCAGGGCTGTGCTAGCCAACGCGCCGTCGGAGCCGTTCTGCCGAGCTTCGAAGCGTGGGTAGGGAGGAACGACTGTGTCACCTACCGATTGACTCAGATGCTTACCGGGCACGGTTGCTTCGGTGAGTATCTGAATCGAATTGGACGGGAGGCCACGGCACGATGCCACCATTGCGGGTCCGACCGGGACTCCGCCCAGCACACGCTGGAGGACTGCCCTGCATGGGAGTCCGAACGTCGAGTCTTGGTCGGACAGATCGGATGAAACCTGTCACCGCCAGCATTAATCGCGGCAATGCTGGCGAGTGACGAGGGATGGGCAGCCGAGGTCTCCTTCTGCGAGGACGTTATGCTCCAAAAGGAGGCCGCAGAGCGCGATCGGGAGAGGGCCGATCCCGCTCGAAGGAGGCGGCGAAGGGGACGCGGCAGAGGTCGCTAACTCCCCAATCGCCGCCTAAGGGTCACTGCGGCCACATCTTGGGGCGATGTGACCGCTGTAAACGACCCGAGACGGATGACACTCCGGTGCGGCCGGGGGGGTGTCGTCTAAGGCGGGGCCCGTTGCGCCTTTTACTCTGTAGAGCAGTGAGAGGCGCGATAGCGTCCTGCCCCAGGGTGACTACGGTCACTCCGGGATGTGCCTCAGACATAAGGTACGGCAGGGAGGACTCCAGAAGTCGCCGATGCGTTCCTGGAGCTCCTCCCGACTGCCGAGGAAGGCCGCCGCGGGGTTTAGTGGGTAGACCGGTTCTCCGGGAGTCCCACACACGCCCTGCGTTTCCCCAACGGAGGGTATGGTGCGAAAAGCATTCCCCGCGTGAAAAAAAAAAAAAAGAAAAAAAAAAAAAAAAAAAAGGTACGTACGTACGAGTTGAACTCGTGCGCCGAGGGTTCCGTACCTACCCAAATTTTACGTAGATTTTCGCGGAAATTTGTAAGTACCAAATCTTAATTTTCAACTTTTTTTATTTTTTGGAATTATTCCTTTATTTGTGCTGTAAGACGTTTCTTTTTGCCAAATTTCGTGATTCGAGGTCAACGGTAAGATATAGATTAGATAGAGATATAGGTTTTCGACCCAAAACCTATAGGATACTTCCGGTTGATCTAGAATTGTCAATTTTGGTTAAAAATAAGGTCTTTGTGTCTAGATCACATCATCATCATCATCTATCATCTACAGCCTTTAATAGTCCACTGCTGGACATAAGCCTCTCCTTATAAAGGATGTTGTGGCCTACTATTGTCCTAATATTGTCACTAGATAATCCTGTCATATAAAAAAATAACTAGAGAAATGAAACTCGTCTATGCTTTTCGATCGCTTTACTTCAGTAGATGTTGACAGGTACTCAGTTTTTTTTTTCTCAGATTATTATGAACAAAACGCCATTAAAACAAAAAATCCGAATAAGATTTTTATGTGAGCCAATATGGATCCTAGTGGTCTAACCATTCGTGTCTCACCGGCTTTTCAAGGTCCATGGGCCTCTCAAACCATATAACTTATTTTTACGCATATTATTAAGGAGTGACGGATAAAGAATACAGAGTGTCACCACCCCTATTCATCCCGTGGGTGTCGTATGACCCCCTACAGGAAAAAAAACGCAGAACAACAACACTGCACAGAGAAGGAAAACTTGACACAAATCCTATGCCAACCCGTTTGGCCAGCGTGGTATAGTAAGGCCAAAACCTCTTTTCTAAGGAGAGGCCTATGTCCAGCAGTGGACTATTAAAGGCTGTTGATGTGATGTGATGTGAAGGATTAATCCGACCTAAGGCAACAAACGAGCTCCTATAAGTTAATGACAATTTCAGAAAATTTACATTTCGACAGTCCGTATCTATAATCTTCTTCTATTACCGGCTACTACTGCTATTGGTACTGAAAAAAATACATAATTTTTTACTTATTACTACATTATTTATTTACTTATATTTTACTTATTACTATATTATTTTTACTTATTACTACATTATTACTTATTAATACATAATTTGTTACTTTTCGCAGTTTTTATTAACTCAATCGCAAATCAATTACTGTCTTCCTACCATCTTTACGCAGATGATCTCCAAATCTACTCACAAGCTACTCCAGATAATTTAACAAAAGCAGTGGATGCCATAAATAGAGACTTAATGCAAATATGCAACTGGAGTACGGAGTATGGCCTAAGCGTAAACCCCACAAAAACACAGGTGATTATTGTAGGTAGTCAAATCAAATCAAATCAAATCAAATCAAATCTTTATTTGCCAACCAAGTGTACATCAATGATCTTATAATATTATATGTAGTAGTCCCAACTTAGAAGCCTTTTCCAGGCATTGCAAAAATTTGAGAGAGAACGCAGAAGAATAAATTGTTACACAAGTACAAGCATTTTTTGAACAATACAAATTAAGTGACTCAATAGTACAGTGTAACAATCGAACAAAGCATGCAAAAATACGAAGGCACCCGACATTCTACATCACTAATACATATACACATTTTCCTACTGTCCCTAGCATTTCCGTGCATCACGACCGATTTTTCTTTTTATGATTTTTACTTAGGTATATGCTTTCTGTTTTCCGTGTAATAAGAAATGTAGTTTGTTAAGTGTTTTTTTCCTCAATGTATTCTTTAACAGAATAGAAACATTTTGTAATTAAGAATGCTTTTAGTTTTTTAATGAATAGTGTAGTCTTCGTTTCATTTTTTATGTGGATAGGTAATTTGTTGTATATTTTTGCAGCCATGTGGTAAGGGCTCTGGTCTAGCATTTTAATTCTTGATGGTGGTAGGTATAGTCTGTCTGTCCCCCGAGTGCGCGGGGTAGCGGGTGCACTGCATCGCCTGCTGCCCAATCTCGGGGGACCACGGGAAGAAGTTCGCCGTCTCTATATGGGGGTCGTGCGATCCATGGTCCTCTATGGGGCGCCCGTCTGGTCTAATGACTTGGCGGGTGCCTCCCGCTGCAAGGCTCTACTCAGAAGCCTACAGCGGTTGATGGCCATACGGGTCGTACGGGGTTATCGTACCATCTCGTTTGAGGCGGCGACGGTCCTGGCTCGATATCCACCCTTCGACATTCTGGCCGACATGGACGCGATGGTCTATGACCAAGTCCGTTCTGTCGGTCGGAATGGTGAGGAGGCCGCGCCGGATCATGAGCCCGGAATGCTACGGCGGAACGCGCATACGCAGGCTTTGCGAGCGTGGCAGGCACGGCTTGTAATCCAGGGCTGTGCTAGCCAACGCGCCGTCGGAGCCGTTCTGCCGAGCTTCGAAGCGTGGGTAGGGAGGAACGACTGTGTCACCTACCGATTGACTCAGATGCTTACCGGGCACGGTTGCTTCGGTGAGTATCTGAATCGAATTGGACGGGAGGCTACGGCACGATGCCACCATTGCGGGTCCGACCGGGACTCCGCCCAGCACACGCTGGAGGACTGCC